AGCTGTGGACGTGCCTGGAAGTGAAAGGAAAATCCAATGCTGCAAAGAAGAATACTGCATAGGAACCTGGAATGTAAGATCTATGAACGTTGGGAAGCTGGAGGTGGTCAAACAGGAGATGGCAAGAATAAACTTTGACATCCTGGGCATCAGTGAACTAAAATGGACAGGAATGGGCGAATTCAGCTCAGATGATTATCATATCTACTATTGTGGGCAAGAATCCCGTAGAAGGAATGGAGTAGCCCTCATAGTCAACAAAAGAGTGGGAAGAGCTGTAATGGGATACAATCTCAAAAATGATAGAATGATGTCAATACGAATCCAAGGCAGACCTTTCAACATCACAATAATCCAAGTTTATGCACCAACCAGCATTGCTGAGGAGACTGAAATTGAACAATTCTATGAAGATTTACAACACCTTCTAGAACTGACACCAAAGAAAGATGTTCTTCTCATTCTAGGGGACTGGAATGCTAAAGTAGGGAGCCAAGAGATAAAAGGAACAACAGGGAAGTTTGGCCTTGGAGTTCAGAACGAAGCAGGACAAAGGCTAATAGAGTTTTGTCAAGAGAATAAGCTGGTCATCACAAACACTCTTTTCCAACAACACAAGAGGCGACTCTATACATGGAAATCACCAGATGGGCAATATCGAAATCAGATTGATTATATTCTCTGCAGCCAAAGATGGAGAAGCTCTATACAGTCAGCAAAAACAAGACCTGGAGCTGACTGCGGTTCTGATCATCAGCTTCTCATAGCAAAATTCAAGCTTAGACTGAAGAGATTAGGAAAAACCACTGGGCCACTCAGGTATAATCTAAACCAAATCCCTTATGAATACACAGTGGAAGTAAAGAACAGATTTAAGGAACTAGATTTGGTGGACAGAGTGCCTGAAGAACTTTGGATAGAGGCTCGTAACATTGTCCAGGAGGCAGCAACGAAAACCATCCCAAAGAAAAGGAAATGCAAGAAAGTAAAGTGGCTGTCCAACGAGGCCTTAGAAATAGCAGAGAGGAGAAGGGAAGCAAAATGCAAGGGAGATAGGGAAAGTTACAGAAACTTGAATTCAGACTTCCAAAGAATAGCAAGGAGAGACAAGAGGGCCTTCTTAAATGAACAATGCAAAGAAATAGAGGAAGATAACAGAAAAGGAAAGACCAGAGATCTGTTCAGGAAAATTGGACATATTAGAGGAACATTTTGCGCAAAGATGAACATGATAAAAGACAAAAATGGGAGGGACCTAACAGAAGCAGAAGACGTCAAGACGAGGTGGCAAGAATACACAGAGGAATTATATCGGAAAGATTTGGATATCCCGGACAATGCAGACAATGTAGTTGCTGACCTTGAGCCAGACATCCTGGAGAGTGAAGTCAAGTGGGCCTTAGAAAGCCTGGCTAACAACAAGGCCAGTGGAGGTGATGGCATTCCAGTTGAACTATTTAAAATCTTGAAAGATGATGCTGTTAAGGTGCTACATTCAATATGCCAGCAAGTTTGGAAAACTCAACAGTGGCCAGAGGATTGGAAAAGATCAGTCTACATCCCAATCCCAAAGAAAGGCAGTGCCAAAGAATGCTCCAACTACCGTACAATTGCACTCATTTCGCACGCTAGCAAGGTTATGCTCAAAATCCTGCAAGGTAGGCTTCAGCAGTATGTGGACCGAGAACTCCCAGAAGTACAAGCTGGATTCCGAAGAGGCAGAGGAACTCGAGACCAAATTGCTAACTTGCGCTGGATTATGGAGAAAGCCAGAGAGTTCCAGAAAAATATCTACTTCTGCTTCATTGACTATGCGAAAGCCTTTGACTGTGTGGACCACAGCAAACTATGGCAAGTTCTTAAAGAAATGGGAGTGCCTGACCACTTTATCTGTCTCCTGAGAAACCTATATGTGGGACAGGAAGCAACAGTTAGAACTGGTCATGGAACAACTGAGTGGTTCAAAATTGGGAAAGGAGTACGGCAAGGCTGTATACTGTCCCCCAGCTTATTTAACTTGTATGCAGAATACATCATGCGGAAGGCTGGACTGGAAGAAACCCAAGCCGGAATTAAGATTGCCGGAAGAAATATCGACAACCTCCGATATGCAGATGATACCACTCTGATGGCAGAAAGTGAGGAGGAATTAAAGAACCTTGTAATGAGGGTGAAAGAGGAGAGTGCAAAAAACGGTCTGAAACTCAACATCAAAAAAACTAAGATCATGGCCACTGGTCCCATCACCTCCTGGGAAATAGAAGGGGAAGATATGGTGGCAGTGTCAAATTTTATCTTCCTGGGCTCCATGATCACTGCAGATGGAGACAGCAGCCCTGAAATTAAAAGGCGCCTTCTTCTTGGGAGGAAAGCGATGACAAATCTGCACAGCATCTTGAAAAGCAGAGACATCACCTTGCCAACAAAAGTCCGAATAGTCAAAGCTATGGTTTTTCCTGTCGTGATGTATGGAAGTGAGAGCTGGACCATAAAGAAAGCAGACCGCCGAAGAATTGATGCCTTTGAATTGTGGTGCTGGAGGAGGCTCTTGAGAATCCCCTGGACTGCAAGGAGAACAAACCTATCAGTTCTAAAGGAAATCAACCCTGAGTGCTCACTGGAGGGACAGATCCTGAAGCTGAGGCTCCAGTACTTTGGCCATCTAATGAGAAGAAAAGACTCCCTGGAAAAGACCCTGATGTTGGGAAAGTGTGATGGCAAGAGGAGAAGGGGACGACCGAGGATGAGATGGCTGGACAGTGTCTGTGAAGCAACCAACATGAACCTGACACAACTCCGGGAGGCAGTAGAAGACAGGAGGGCCTGGCGTGCTCTGGTCCATGGGGTCACGAAGAGTTGGACACGACTAAACGACTAAACACACAAAGGCTTAATCATGTGCTCAGGCAGCTGTTTGTATAATTAAGTATTAAGTACATGGAATTCATAGAATGCAAACGGCTGATGTTGTGGATTATTGCTCTGAACTCTTGGGATTAGACAAGGATTCATAATAAACAATTTTAGCATTTAAACTTCTTGGTAAAACTTTTTTATAATGTGTTGTTGCTTAGACTGTGCTATCCCAAAGTATTTAGATAACACTTTGGGATTATGACTGAGACTGGGAGACAGCTTCTCCACATTCTTTTTACCCCCGCTCCCTTCCTCCTTCTGATGTATAGTTTCATCCGTGACATGCCATTGTCACCCATCATGTGTTTCCCTGTCTGTGCCCCACATCAACTGCTGTGGGGAGAGGGCAGTAAAACACACAGTGAGGCAACATGTATCATGCATTAGATTTATGTGTGTGCTGAATTTATGACTTAACGCCACAGGTTAACCAACCCCAAACCCTTGGTGGAAAAAGAAAAGTGAAGAAATGTTAAGCACTTTGAGTACTGGAAAGCACTTTTGAAATAATAATTGTATAAAATACTTATGGATCATATTGGAGCTGTTGCTAGAATTTTCAGCCCCTATCAATGTCCCTAATTTACAATTAGGTTTCAAATAGGTTTTCAGCAATGTTGGGTGAAAAATATATATGAAATTATCATTTTCTAAAATGATTTGTTTTGTAGGCAGTAGTAAACCAATGTTTTGTTTTGTTTTAAAGATACACAGCTATTTATCAGGGAATTTATTACAGTGTGCCGCTATTTAAGAGAGACTTAGGTTTTTGGTGAAAACTTGTATCTGTTATATAATACCGATCCATGTTTTTATAAGGTCGACTGTGCCTGGTGTTTCTGAATAATACTAATAATAATAATTCTGTGCCGTGAAGTCAGTTACTGTGCCACTTCTGTCAACCCTCCTAGGATTTTTCGGAGGGTGAAGGTCCTCGGGAGCGGTTTCCCAGTCCCTCCTCTTGGCGGCGCTGGGGAACTGAGCAGTTTGTGCCTGGCTGCACAGGTGGCAAGTTGGCACGTAGCCCCAGCTGATCTCGGCTGGCTCGGCTCCCAGGAGGCACAAACTCCGCCCTTTGGCTCTGCTGCGATCAGGTGCTCGAACCCACTGAGCGAGACCAGCTTCTTGACGATCCGTGGGATGGTTTGAAGGGATTACACTCTGACCTGGTTAGGGTCAGCCCTACCCTTTTCTGAGATGGGAAGAAACAAGGAGCCTGTTTGAGGTCTGGGAGCCCTTTTGGGGGTGTGTGTGTGTGTCCAAGGCAGAACCGCCAACCGGCCTCTCCCAAGCCAGCGTTTCCAAAACTCAAGCCAGTCAAAGGCTTCCTTCCTTCCTTTGGCCACAATGGGCCAGGAAAGCTCGCCAAAACTTCTCCCCACTGCCATGGCTGGACCGCAGCTGGGAAAGAGTTCCTCTCCCCATCAAACCCGACCCGCTCTGCCTTTAGGCTGAGTAAAAGCGGCTGCCTTTGACGGCGATGAAAGGGCAGCATGTTGCTCCTTATTAGATTTGGTGCTATTGTATTTTTACTGTCAGAAAAAAAATACAATGGGGAGAAGTGTTTGGTAGATTTTCTGTTTCCGGCGCCAAAGAAACTTGACCGGCTCTAGGGGCCCTGGATAGATTCGGGAGGTGGGAAGGGGCACTTTCGCTTTTCTGCCTGGGGCAGCCAAATACCTCGGGCCGGCTCCGGAGATCAAAGAGCCTCCCTTGTTTTCTCCCCCCCCTCCCCCGTCTCTTTGACAGCGCCGGAGGGCACTAGAGGCTGCCGTGAAGATCACCAGAGCGCATGACAAGCGTGAAAAGGATGAACAGGGAGGGAGTCCGCAGGGAAGCTTTGGCGCGTAGCACTGCCTCCTTCTCTGGCCTCCCTCTCCCTTCTCCTCCCGGCCCGCGGTAGCCATCGATTTGCCACCCCCCGCTTTTGACTGTGGTGGTTCGGTCTCGCCTGCAGCTGTTGCTCATTTGGTCTGGTCAGCAGATGGCGCTCTGTTGCAGGCCAGAGGGGTGGGCTTAAGGGCGGGGGGCGAGCATGAGGTAATGGTGGTGAGAGGAGGAGGAGGAGGACGAAGGGCGGGCGGGCGAGCGAGCGAGACGTTGCGTTCCAGCGGAGCTCGCGCTGCGGCTTCGGTTCCAAAAAACCTTGCGAGGGAAGGCAGGGAAGTTGTAGCGGCGGCCGAGCCCGCGGGGTTGCAATAGGCAGGAGCGAAGTCCAGAACCCGTGCAATGGACGATTGGTTCTCCGCTGTGGAAAGGGGGCATCGGTTCTGGTGGAGGTTTGCATTTTTGCTGGCGTGCCGAGAATATCGCACTCACCCGGATTCCTCGTAGAAAGGAAAAGCAACAGGGAGGTGGAGCTGGTGTGAGTGAGTACTGCATCTAGTGCACAGGGAGGAGGGAAGAAGAAAGAAAGAAAGAAGGGGTGGGGAGGTGGGAAACTAGAGCATGAAATTCCAAGAAGGGTTTGCTCAGAAGGATAGTCCGTGCAACTGCAGACGGAAAACCAGAAGTAGGAGGAGATGCAACTGGTGTAACTGAGTCACCCTCCTTTCGTCGGAGAGAGAGAGAGAGAGAGAGAGAGACAGAGAAATTGCCCTCAGAGGCACTTTCCCGAGCGAATGACGGAACCTGCTTTTCCAGCTCGCTGAGTGGATAGGTCGGTGTTATGTTTTAAATGCAGGGATTTTACAGGCAGTGAGGCAACGAAGAGTTGGAAGTCGGTGGGATGAAAGCCTTGGAGAACCTTTTAAATATTTTTACGTGAAACGTTAATCGGACTCTTTTTTTGACACCACAAGAAGACCCAAATATTCTTAGAGAGGAAAAGAGAGTCTTTTTCTGAAAAAAAGGAGAAAATCTGGAACTCGGCCAGCCTGTGGCCGTGACGCTGCCTGCAGAGTTTAAAGGGGGAGAAGTAGAGGAGACGGGTCGCGCCCTGACCGGGCGAAAGAAAAAGGGGGGGGGCTCTCGGTGGCGCGCGGGATTCGGAGCGGAGACGGCGACAAATATGCTGCTGGCTTCCGCCGTGGTGGTCTGGGAATGGCTGAACGAGCACGGGCGCTGGAGACCTTACAGCCCGGCCGTGAGCCATCACATCGAGGCGGTGGTCCGGGCCGGACCCAGAGCCGGCGGCAGCGTGGTCTTAGGCCAGGTGGACAACCGGCTCTCGCCCTATATCATCGACCTGCAATCCATGCACCAGTTCCGCCAGGATACCGGTAAGTGTTACCGGGGGCTATCGCAGCGCCCACCTCACTTGGTCGGCCGGGCGGGGGGGGGAGCGCGCGAAGAGAGTCCGGGCCCTTCCTGTCCGGTTCCACCTGCCTTGCCCAATGTTAAACGCCGACGCCGCCCAGCAAAGGCCAGGTTAAGCGCCTGGAAGGAGGAACTGGGGGGAAAAGTAAAGCAGAAAGAGCGATTGTGGGCTTAATCGCGGAGTTCCCTAAAAGGATCGGCAAGCGCCGAGTTGGGGAAGGGAGGGCATGATGAGGTGGGGGACAGTGGCAGAAGCGCTCGGTCTGAAAGAAACAGGTCCCCAGTACCGATAGGAAGAAGATCCAGACGGGTGCTTAGTGCGGATCGCGTGTCACAGGTCCCGGGAAGCCTCGTTTTGCCCATAGTGAAGAGGCTTTTCATCCCACTCCTTTTCCCGAGCAAATCGGCAGCAGCGCTCGTGTTCGCCAGTCTTGGGCATTAGCTTCTCTGCTGGATCCCCCACCCCGACCCCCCGTTGATAGCCAGAGCCCAAAGTGACAGAGTGCGGTGCTTCTCTAATGCCTTGCTTAAGGTGTGAAGAACTCCCAGCGTGTGCACACCAGGAAATAAACCAAGTGCACGGCTGTAACATGTCCAAGGCGGGAGGCGACGAGTTTACTTCGAGGTAAACTGAGTTGAATTCACTGAGACCTTTTTTTAAAAATCAGCATGCATAAAGGTGAAACATGGGGGGGGGAGAGGAAAAATATGTTGACAAAGATTCAGTGCGATTAGGGAATGTAATGAAAGTAAGAGTGCTGTTTTTATGTATATGGAATTTTTAGAGCATATCTGAGCAATAAATCAGATCAGCAGTTCACAGTCATGATTACCCAGAGAAATGTAAAGGAACTTACAAATCTAGTGTATTGTATTCTGATGTGGAAGTACAATATCACTGATACCCATCCTGAAAACGGGGGGGGGGCTTTGGCCCACCAGATGTTGATTGCTCTGCTTTAAATGGTGTCGGTTGAAAGATGGGGCAAATGCACTGTTTGCTGCTACTTCTTAACAACAAATCCACTTGGAATTGTCCCAGATGTGATAATCCTTGAGGTCTGTAGTCTCAGGGACTGCAGAGCTTTCTCAGAAAAGGGGGGGGAGGTATGTGTTTTTTTGCGTGGGTGAGTGTGAATTACTGGCTCTTCCCGTTATAATAGACAGTCATCAGGCATGAATGCTGATGTTTACAAATCAGAGATGTCGACCCAAAAAGAAATTCACAAGACCAAAACAGTAATCAACTATAGCAAGATACTGTACAGAAGGTTGTATAAAGTCATGTTGATGAAAAGGGTTGTATTTAAAGTTTTTGGGGTAAATGGGCAGAGATATGAGTAGTGCTTCAATCTTAACTACTGCTGGATAGCCCTTCCTCCTCCTGCTTTTTCTTCTTTAGCACCTTGATTTATCAGTCAACTGGGGGCTGAGTGGTTCCATAGAAAAATGTTCCTGAAATTCTTTAGAAATAGCAGTCTCTTGGCTGAAAAGAAGAATCTGGTCTGGATGGGGAGCTGTCTTAGCTGGAAAGAAAAGGAAAATACCCTGGGAAAACCAGCAGCCTCCTTGGCTGGGAATCCCTGTTAGCGATAGTTAGTGAGCTCACTTCAAGAAGCAGGAAATCTATTGGATCAGGAGAGCAGCTGGGAGGAGATAAGCAGGTGAATCAGGCCACCACACCGTGCGTAGGAATACCATTTCTCTTGTTGTGGTGCAGTGGGCTGCATACTCGTTCAGCAGGCTGAGGTTGGAGGCAACGAGGTGCAGTGGGCTGCATACTCGTTCAGCAGGCTGAGGTTGGAGGTAGCGAGAAAGTGGGAAAGGATGAACAATAAGCTTTGAAGACTGAGAAATTAGAGAGGCAGATATTCCAGGAAGGAAAACTGTCAGAGGCAGAGAAGGCTAACAGAACAAGGAGGGAAAGGGAGCTTGTTGGAGGCTGGGGGGCTGATGTTTTAAAGCAGAGGGTACACAATAAGAGATGTTTGGCCAGTTTTCTAACTTCACAGACTTGTATAGAAGATGAAGTCAATATAGAAGAAAAAGTTCCTTCCCAGGTAACTATTAAAGAGAGAACTAAACTGAAAGAAGTAGATCAGAAGTCCACCATCCGGACATTTTTTTCTGAACACTTGGAGGTTCAAATTAACTCTGAATTTGGTCTGTAGTTATGAATCAGTTAATTTGTCACATGTGCCCTAAAAGTACCTGAAGTGCATTTTAAGTTGTGTTTATTTTACAATAAAAGTCTTTTAAAAAAATGGCAACCAAAATTAGTTCAGCCTTAGTATGATGCAAAATCAAGAACTGCAAAGTCTTGCGAGACCTTGGAGGGCCCTGACAGAGAAGGCCTTCAAAGGCTAACTCCTGTAGACATCATAGAATGGTGATGCTCACAGTGAGGTCTCTCCAGCTGAACATAAAGCACTGGGCAGTACATCACTGTTTTGTGACATTCATTCCTCTGTGCTTACTACTCTTCACTTTCGGAAGGGCTCCTGCTCCCTTGAAAGACTCCATCCTTTCTTGCTCTCTCACACACTTGGAACTAGCTAACTCGTGTAGCTACAAGGTGCCACCTCACTTTCTGTGTTCAGAGCTGCCACCATTTCTGCAAGGGCTTTGGCGCGACCTCCAGACTTCATGTCCTGTAGCACAGTGGTCCCCAACCTTGGGCCTCCAGATGTTCTTGGACTACAACTCCCAGAATCCTTTACCACCACCTCTGCTGGTCAGGATTTCTGGGAGTTGAAGTCGAGGGCTTTGGCACGAACTCCAGACTTCATGTCCTGTAGCAGGAATAGGCAAACATGTGGTGTCAGATGGTTGAGGACCTTATATACACATATGGATAGAAGCTCATCATCATCACATATGCATATGCACATACTAAGAGATGGGTGTCCATGAAGGGAGGATAAGGGAAAGTGCATGCTTCCCTCCCAGAATCCTAAACTTGTTATTTCCTTAAATGTACACAGGTAAAAACTACAGTCAGGCGAGCAATGCATAGGTATCACTGATAGACTTGGGGAGGGTAAGGGAAAGTGCATGCTTACCTCCCAGAATCCTAAACTTGTTATTTCTTTAAATGTACACAGGTAAAAAACTACAGTCAGGTGAGCAATGCATAGGTATCACTGATAGACTTTGCCCCCTCCACATTATTTCTGTGGGTGCCCTTGGTTCTTAACTACTACAGCCTCACTCATATATCTCAGGTGGGCTAGATCACCCCACCATGATTACTGAATATTTGTGAAGACTCTCAGTCATCCAGGTGTGGTTATCTGGAAGTTGAGTCATGGCAACTGGACTTCTTTCTTATTAGATTGAAACATTTCGCTACTCCTCCAAGTAGCTTCTTCAGTCGTGATTGCTGAGATCAGGGGTTCAGATATCAAGAGAGACAGTTGGAATTAAATCAGTCATCCAAATGAGTTCCAGGAATACCACAAAACTGTGAACTTGATGCTTGTGTGTGAGTGTGATCTCATCCAGAAAAGGCCTCTCCTTGGCTTGTAGATTTACCACTCATTGCTGTTAATGTGCTTTTACCTGGATCAATTTTTAATTCATTAATGCTCATTGAAGCTACCATTAACTCTAGATACCAATCATGACAACCCACAACAAGTCACTTTGAGAAAAGATAGCTGTTGGTTATCAGTATATTGATGGTGCCAGGCTCTGAGTTAGAACAAGGAAAAGGCAGCACTGGGGGCGGATACAGCTCTCCAAGGCTGTTTTTGCAGCCCCAGGCTCCCCTCAGGCTCTTCTCCCCCATTGCACCAAAAAAAAGGGGTGTTGCTCCTGGAGGTTCCTTGTGAGTAGGTTGCAAGGTTTTTCTGCAATTGTCAGCCACACTAGACACTGTTCCAAAACCTCTGTTCAGAGCACATTACCATAGTCTCTTGAGACTGAAGGATGCCTACTATTTTCTGGGATGCTTTACACCTAAACCACAAGATTTTCATAACTGTTAATGGCCTTGCCATGACCTTCCTGTTTCATTGTTTGCTCTCCCCCTTCCCACCACTACAGTTTTTGGTGATCTGTGTAGCTCTAGAGTAGTGATTCATATCTTTGGGTAACCCAGGTGTTCTTGGACTGCAGCTCCCTAGCCAGCACAACTAGGGGTGAATGTTTTTGAGAGTTGTAGTTCAAGAGCTCCTGGGTTACCCACAGTATGGAACCATTGCCCTAGGTCAGAAAATTCACCCTTAGGCCTGTCAGTTTTTTTCTATTTCTGTATGGAGTGCAGGATGGAACCCTATGGCAGCTGGTCAAAGCTGTCTCCCTGAGGTAGACACAGAACACTTAAAACTCAGCCGTTTTGGACAGTCCAGAAGGAATACCAGGGTTGATTATATTGAAGGTTATGGAAAAAAAATTGAAATAGTCTCTTTGAAGGATGCCTACTATTTTCTGGGATGCTTTACACCTAAACCACAAGATTTTCATAACTGTTAATGGCCTTGCCATGACCTTCCTGTTTCATTGTTTGCTCTCCCCCTTCCCACCACTACAGTTTTTGGTGATCTGTGTAGCTCTAGAGTAGTGATTCATATCTTTGGGTAACCCAGGTTTTCTTGGACTGCAACTCCCTAGCCAGCACAACTAGGGGTGAATGTTTTTGAGAGTTGTAGTTCAAGAGCTCCTGGGTTACCCACAGTATGGAACCACTGCCCTAGGTCAGAGAAGTCACCCTTAGGCCTGTCAGTTTTTTTCTATTTCTGTATGGAGTGCAGGATGGAACCCTATGGCAGCTGGTCAAAGCTGTCTCCCTGAGGTAGACACAGAACACTTAAAACTCAGCCGTTTTGGACAGTCCAGAAGGAATACCAGGGTTGATTATATTGAAGATTATGAAAAAAAATCTGAAGAATGAATGTGGATGCAGTGACCAAAATCCTGTTGCATAGCATAGTAAATTTCACAACTACATTAAATTGTAGTT